GAGGGCAGGGAGCTGGGGCACAGTTTTGGGGTGCTGAGGGCCAGGAGCAGAGCCTGCCCCGTCCTGCATGAGCATGTCCTGCTGCCAAGGCCTGGTGGCACCTGGATCCCCCCGGGAATGTCCCATCTGGCTTTGGGCATCTCGGGTGTCCTGGGACCCCCCACCCACCAGGAGCATCCACAGGGACACGGGATCCAGGCTGGATGGGCTGGGAGCAACCTGGGCTGCTGGAAGGTGTCCCTGGCAGCGCCTGGGTGGGCTTTAAGGTCCCTTCCAACCCGAGCCCTTCCACGATTCCGTGGATCAGCCCCCAGGACACGGCCCAGGTGCTCCAGCCCCGTGTCCCCCTGGCCCTGCCTGGCTCTGCTTGTGTGCCCAGTGTGCCCAGTGTGCCCAGTCCCCTCCTCCCCAGTTCCAGCACGGCTCCTGGGCTGGGCTGGAGAGAGAGAGAGAGGCCCGGAGGGAGGAGGGATCCCACCCCACCGCTGGGATCTGCCAGGGAATGCTCCTCAGGGATGCTCAGATCCCGGTCCACCCCGATCCTACAACCTCTGGTGATGGGGTTTGACAGGCCTTGGATCAGCCTGGGCTGCTGGAAGGTGTCCCTGGATGGGCTCTAAGGTCCCTTCCAACCCACACCATTCCATGATTCCACGTGCCAACCTCTCCCTTTCCTTCTCTGTCTCTCTCCTGTCTCTCATTGCTAAATCCCAGGAACGTCCACCCTCGTTCCCCGTCCCCCTCCATCCCTTTTCCAGGCTCCTCTTCCAGCCTTTCCTGACCTCTCTGCCTTTCTTTGTGCCCCAGATGAGTTTCCTGCTCCCCCGAAGCCCCCGAAGGCCTCAGACCGTACGTCCCAGTAACGTCCCCGTCCCGTCCCAGTTTGGCGCCGCTCGGGACTGGTTTTACTGGTTCAGTGTCCGGGCTGGGGGAGGATCAGCTGGGTTCAGTCTGGGCACCTTGGGAGAAGGGAATGGCTCCAACTTGGCCTCTTCCTGCCCTCTGGGAGCAGGGAAAGGGCTCCCCTGCCCTGTGGGGTGTCCCTGCTGGCACGGGGAGCTCAGGGCAGGGCCCTGCCGGGGATTCCTGCCCAAAATTCCATGAAAAGGGGTGATTCTCTTCGTGGAATCGCAGAACTGGATAGGTTGGAAAATCCCTGTGATCCAACAAGTCCAGCCATTCCCCCAGCACTGCCAAGGCCACCCCTGGCCGTGTCCCCACGTGCCACATCCTCAAGGCTGTTAAATCCCCCCAGGAATGGGGACTCCCCCCGCCCTGGGCAGCTGTGCCAGGGCTGGACAGCCCTTTCCAGGAAGGAATTTTCCCAATATCCCACCCCAGCTCACCCCTAGTGCCGCTTGAGGCCGTTTCCTTTCATCCTGTCACTCCTACTCTTGTCCAAGCCCCCTCTCTTACTGTCCCCCCTTCCCGGGGCTGGGAATTCCCGTTTTTCCCGGGACACAGCCCTCTGTGTGTGTCCTGCCCTGCGGTGAGTGCTCGCAGGGCTCCAGTTTGGGTGCAAACCGCAGCATTTTGGTGCCTCCAGCCCCCCGTGGTCCCCGTGGCCTGGGGTGGGACCCGGCCCCGAGGCACCCCCGGGAATCCCTGCCGGCTCTGATGCTCCTCTCCCTGTGATTCCCAGTGGATGACGGGCTCGGATTCCTGCCAACCTTCGGCCCCTGCTACATCAACCTCTACGGGAGCCCCCGGGAATTCACGGGATTCCCCGATCCCTACGAGACCCTCAACCTGGGAAAGGTGACATGGGCTTCTCTCCGGCCTCCACTAACCCGGCAGCTCCTCCTGCCCCGGCTGCTCTAAACCCCCCTGGCTCTGGCAGCGGGACCCTGCGCTGGCTCCTGCAATTCCTTGGCTGTTCCCGCTGCCTCCGACCTCCCGGCTCCGCTCCGCTCCCAGAACTTCCCGCCGGAGCCCTTGGCTGCTCTTCCTCCTCCGCGCCGGAGCTCCTGGAAAACCCCAAAGGCAGGGCTGATCCGTGGGGAGGGAGCGCTGGGGAGGGATCCTGACGCTTCTCCCCGCTCTGTCCCAAAGGGAGAGGGCGTTGCCTACCGTGGCAGGGTGCTGGTGGAGCTGGAGACCAAACTGGTGGAGCACCTGGAGCAGAAGGTGGAGGATATTCCAGCGGATGATGTCCTGAGGGTGGAGGTAAGGGGGTCTCGGGGGCATTCCGGGGGGTGTCCAGCCCCTTGGGCACGTGGGACGTGATGGAAGGGGTGTGGGAGTTGCTCCAGGGTGGGTCCCGTGGTTGGGGAGCTCCTGGAGGTGCCTCCTGCCGAGTTCCATTCCGAGGTGTCCGTCCAAGGGTTGATCCGTCAGAGGTCCCTGATCGTGGGAAACGGGGAATCATGGAATGGTTTGGGTTGGGAGGGGCCTGAAAGGTCATCCAGTTCCATGGGCAGGGACACCTTCCACTAGCCCAGGGGGCTCCAACCTGGCCTTGGGCACTCCCAGGGATCCAGGGGCAGCCACAGCTTCTCTGGGAAACTCATCCCAGTCCCTCCCCACTCTCACAGCCAGGAATTCCTTCCCAAAATCCCACCCAAATCTCCACTTTTCCACTATGAAGCCATTCCCTGTGTCCTGTCCCTCCATCCCTTGTCCCCAGCCCCTCTCCAGCTCTCCTGGAGCCCCTTTAGGCCCTGCAAGGTCTCATGGGGCGTTGGAAGGTTTGCCTCCACTCCAGTGCTCTCCCAGATTTACTCCTTTTCCTCATTTTTCACCTTTCAGCTGCATTTTCCTTGAGAAGCTGTGACTTCTTTTTTTGGAAAAGAGCCC